AGGGTGGATTGAATGATAGCTCTTAGGGGCTGCGACTGGGTATTCTCTGGAGAGAGGAATGGGAAGGGAAAAAGGTGAGAGAAGTAAATTGGAGATACATCTCGAACCCCGGAGAGTGTGGGGAACCTTCGGTCGCTTTTTCCTTGTTGGGGAATTTTCAATTGCCGGCCAAGAAGGGATTGGAATTGACACGACGTTATTGGTGGAATATATTTGGCCTATTATCAAGAATCAGAAGAGAAAAGTACATTGTATACAGTATACATCATATACATACAACATAGTACCTGAGTGACTATACACTTCCGAGGTCCCACGTGAGAGCCAAGGGTTCCAGTTCACCCGCATCTCTTCCCCTCGAACTCTTCCACTGCGGAACCCAACTTCCTTGAACTTGTGACGTCGGATATCATTCCACGAATAATTCACTCTTGAACTCTTTCAACATTTCGCGACCATGTTTGAGGTGTGTTTACCGTGTTTACCTAGAATCTCCCTGTCTACCCAATATTCTTCATCCCATCCTGTCCTACCTCACCCAGTAGTAGTAATCTGACTGTCTCAGCGTCGTGCAGGGGATCGTTATCGCCTTCGAATGCACCGAGCCCGTTCGGCAGTGCTGACTTCAGATGAAATGGTCGAGGTGCGTGCGGCCCAACGCACCTTTGAGGGGGCCTATGTCCGAACTGCTCTTTCGCAGTTCTCCTTCGCCCTGGTCGTACTCAAGATTTTCACCGCCGAGTTCTACAGTATTGGGGCTCTATTCGCGATATACGGCACGGGAGTTCTCATCATTGGACTTTTCCGCCGTTCGCAGGGAAACAGACAATTCTTCTCTGAAGTAGGAGAGGATGGGATCCATCGGCACAAATTCCGTACCAGTGGAAATGCGGTCTTGGTCTTGACAGCACTGAGTATTGCGGCATACGCATGCTTGATTGGCCTGACCTTGAACCTGAGCAACTGATAAGGAACATTCTGCCTTGATGGTTGCACGCGATTCATCCATACACCGTATCCAATATCCCTGGAGGCTATCTTCTAGGCATGCTATCCGTGACACCCCCTGCGTTACCGCCAAGCGCCAAGGATTCCGCACCTGACCACGGAATATGGGTTACCATTTTCGGCGCTTACGGTAGCGGAGATCAGCGTGCAGCAATGGACGCCTACAGTTGGTCGGAGATCAAGCTGTTGTGACGAGGACCGAAAGTCGCTAAGGAAGCCGAGTATGGATCAGCCCGAGCGGTGAGACTCAGGTCATACAAGGCGTTCCAATAATTATTGTTCGATTCACTGGAGGCTGAGTTCGATTCCCAACACGGAGGGTTATCTAGCATCAACTCGCGGCGTGCCCTGGCACCCCTTACAAGACGGGAAACCCAACAGGTATGAGCATTTCGGTGGATTATGAGGATATTGTAGGGTTGGCAAAGTGCACAGGGGCGAGATTGAGCATGGTTCGATGCTCCACCGGCGTGTTTTTCTCGGACCTGTACCCCGTATGCTTTCTAGCCAAGCATTCTCTATTAGATATAGGACCAATACATCTTGCATGATTTTGTGAGACCTCCAATCGATGTGAAGTCTATAAGAGCTGTTCAATCCTGGATCCGACCTGGATATCTTGCATCTCCACATCTTTCCCCTCATGCTGTATACACTTTGACATCATATGGGCGATCTTCAAGCCATCGATCCACCATCTAATGGACTAAGTCAATTCGGCAGCGTAATTTCATCATTCCTAATCTCTGACGTCCTTGGCAATATCCTTGAGTGATATTGTACTTCCACATATTGGACACCAACCTCAAAATAATTACCTTTGCGCCAAAAAGAACAGATAAAAAAAAAGGAAGCCAACCACTTTGATTCTTGCAACCCCTTGAATATCTCAGGTGGTCAATATCAGACCCAGTGTTTCCCGTTGGTTGACTCATCCAAACCTCACAACACTTTCCCTTCCCTCCCCTCTCCCATCATCTTTTTTTCAGTTGCCCAGCTGTGACACAAGTCCTTATCCAACTCAAGATCCTGTGAGAAAGCTCTGAAAAAGAGCAACATTACCCCTTCTTAATAAAACACAAACACAGAACTATCCCCCAGTGGGATGGCGCAACATTCTAGCATTGCCCGGTCGGCCATGACGTCGGCCACTTCGCCTGAGATGGGGGACCAGAGGATTGATATTAAATCCAACGGCACCTCCAATAGCTCGGGATCGGGAAAAGAAGGAGCTCTTATGCCCCCGAAAACTGTGGTCAACCGAGCGCTAGGTAACGACCTGCATTCCGATTCCCACAAATCTTCACTGCCGCCCAAGGGCGGAGTCGGAACGGCTTTGACAGACACTCCGGTTTCTACCGCTCCTCCGTCTCCACAGATGTGAGTATTCTTTCTTTTTTTGTCTAGAACCTTTGGACTTCACTATGTATGAGCCTATCACAACGAGGCTTGACCGGCTGATCTCGGGATGAGTTCAGTTCCGGGGCTCTTTGCTGCCTTATTCTGAGCTAATCTACCTTACCCCGGACTCCACCCTGTTGTTTTGCATTTTGCTGCCTTACGACTTACTTGGATGCGCTTGGCGAGCCTGTGACTAATATGATCCTTGCAGATCGGGCCTTTATCAGCCTCCGGGTACTCCCGGTCGAGTGCGAGCAACTACCCTCGATATCCCCGGATTGACCAAGTCCAAAGTGTCTCCAGATGGCCGTATTGCCCAGCGCGATGTCGGTGCGAAGCTTGTCATTGTCATGGTCGGCCTCCCAGCCCGAGGCAAAAGTTACATTACGAAGAAGCTGGCTCGCTACCTGAACTGGCTCCAACATGACACTGAAATCTTCAACGTTGGACAGCGTCGCCGTGTGGCCGCGGGAAAGTCCCCTTCACCTGTCCCGCTTGATCGTGGCCATGGCCGGAAATCAAGTTCTTTCCACAAGGATCTCGTTGACTCGGTGCGCCGGTTGAGTGTCAGCGTTAGCACCACTTTGAACTCATCAGACATCTCTCCGCCAGAGAACAATACACCGCTTCCGCCACCAGTGGTGCCAACCAAGATTCTTGTGAATGGAGAAGAACCGGAACAAGTCTCTCTCAACCAAAGTACTGTTGTACCCTCGATCGACGCAGGCCCTGCACAATCTCATGAGAACGAAGAAGCTATCAATGAAGCGTCTCCTGAACCAATGGACCAGACCGCCAGCTTCTTTGACCCCCAGAATCAGCGTGCCGTCAAGATGAGAGAGCAGGTCGCGCTGGATACTCTCGATGAGTTGCTTGAGTATATTCTGGAGGAAGGTGGCAGCATTGGTATCCTCGATGCGACCAACAGCACCATGGAACGCCGCAAGGCGATTGTTGACCATATTCGCGATCGTGCTGGTCCTGAGCTAAATATCCTGTTCCTTGAGAGCAGCTGCGTGGATCAGGATTTGCTTGAGGCTAACATGCGCCTGAAACTTTCTGGTCCCGACTACAAAGGCCAAGACCCAACCGAGGCACTTGCAGATTTCAAGAAGCGTGTTGCTCTCTATGAAAAGTCCTACGTGCCTCTCGGCGAATACGAGGAGAAGCATCGCATGGCTTACATCCAGATGATCGACGTCGGTCGTAAAATCGTCGCTCACCAGACCCATGGCTTCCTTGCCTCTCAAGTCGTCTACTACTTGCTCAATTTCAATCTCTCTCCCCGTCAAATTTGGATCACACGACATGGCGAAAGTCTGGATGATGCCGCAGGCCGCATCGGTGGTGACTCTGATCTCAGCGAAAACGGAAGAAGGTACGCCAAGGCGTTGGCTCGCTTCGTGGATCACCAACGGAAGCAGTGGGAAGCATATCAGCGACAGAAACACCTTCTCAAGCACTTCCCGCCTCGAGCTGGTGACATCACCCCTCCCAACCCATCCTATATTCCCCAGGAAGGGCCACGCAACTTCTGCGTCTGGTCCTCAATGATGCAACGCTCCGTTCAAACTGCCGAATACTTCAACGAAGATGAGTACGACGTTAAGCAGATGAGGATGCTGGACGAAATCCATTCCGGCAAGATGGAAGGCATGACATACAAGGAAATCCAAGAGCAGTACCCCGAGGAGTACTCCCACCGCAAGAGAGATAAGCTCTTCTACCGATACCCCGGACCAGGGGGAGAAAGCTATCTCGACATAATCAACCGATCGCGCACAGTTATTGTTGAGATAGAGCGCACTACAGACCATGTGCTCCTGGTTGGACACAGGTCCGTTGCTCGCGTACTCCTGGCCTATTTCCGTGGTCTAAAGCGTGATGAGGTTGCTGACCTCGATGTCCCGATGGGCGTTCTGTACATGCTTGAACCTAAGCCATATGGGGTCGAGTTCAAGGCATACCGCTACAATCCTGAATCCGATTGGTTCGATTACCTTCCCAATTACGAACTGCATCAGGTCAAAGCACACGCCTAGAATTTGAACATGGAGGTTCAAAATTTCATGACTTGCTACGACCTATCATGACTCCTTTTATGGGATGAATTGGCCGGTGTTTAAGGCACTGGTCATTTTCCATTCTCCTTCACTTTTCTGCTCTTTACTGGGCTGTATCCTTGATTTTTTATTTTCCTACTTGCGCCTTGATTATGTATTATCTATGCTTTCTCCCCTCCACTGTTTTCCGGAGCGTTCTTTTATTCTTTTACAGATGACCCAGGCACTCGTTACATGACGGGCGTTTTATCTGTACTTTCAGACCTGCGATGCTCGCTAGCTTTATGAGCTGGAAGTGACAGGTCACCAAGAGCGTCTCTCCCTCGACGTTTCATTTTCGATATCTTTGCAAATGCACTAAGATAGAATCAGCCACGGTTTTGCTTGATAGTCTCAATAGCTTTACTTGCTACGGCATGTCAATAGAACTATGCAGACGATCATAATAACAATGAAATCATTTAACATAACGGCATCCATAGAACATTCTGATCGATAACTATATGAAATTCCCCCTAACAACATTCTTTATTCCTTCTGCTCGGCCTTCACCTTCTCGAAGATCTCCATGAAGGCCTCTGGTTCATCAGCCCCTTCGACATGATATCTCCCTTGCACTGAGATATACGGCACACCAGAAACCAACCTGTTGGCCGCCGCCTTGGCCTCCAAATCAACCTCCTGAGCACCAACATCCTCATCTAACATCTTCTTGACACTCTCCCGATCCAATCCCGCTCCAACACCCGCCTCCACAAGGACCTTCAAATCCGTGATATTCTTCTCCTCCTCAAAATAAGCCCGAAACAGCTGCTCCGCAACCCTCGTCTGCAACCCACCAACAGCACCACCATCACCACCTTCCACACCCTCCTTCCTAGCCGCATCTTCAGCCTCCCGCTGCCCAGCAAACCAAAGCAAGCGATGCGAGTCCCGCGTGAGACCAGTATTCCCGCCAAAACTAAACTGGATCCCCTCATCCTTGCCCACAGCAGATAGGCGCGCGAAGATCGCACTCACGCGCTCAGCCCCGAATTTCCGGGTGTACATCTCGGCTTTGTTTACGCCGGGATACTCGGCTGATGCTGGGTTGAGGTAGAATGCTTTCCAGTGTAGGCTGAATGTGTCTGCTGGGTACGTGGCTTGGTGAGTGGTTATCGCTCGTGAGAGGCGGCGGTAGCCGACGTAGCACCACTTTATTTTTATGGTTAGTATGTAGATCCGAGGGGTTTTGGATGGATGCGTATAGATCTGTGTTATATGGTTGGAATACTTACGGGACAGACGGTGTCTGAGATTATCTGGATCTGGAAGTTCGTCATTTTGTCAAGGTGTGAGGGAGACAGGTGAAGTGGAATTTGGGATATCTTTGCTTTCTTGTATATTTTTTTTTGAGCTTTGTCCTTTGGATGTCGGGGATGACATTCGATTTGTAAGCGTTCCATCCGGTTTCAGGTGGTTTCTCTCGAATCTTCTAAAAGTGTTCATTCTCATTTGCTGGGATAAATGAAATAATTGATATATATCACAAGTGTCCCCAAAGTTAATTTGAAGTACACGCTATCATTCAACAATTACACGAAGGCTCCACAGGTACTCCCGGTTGGGGACTTGATAATCCAAAAGGCCAGCCGGCTATATGTTCAAATAAACAAGCCCAGAAAGACTATCACAGAATCTGCTGGGCCTGGTTCAAGTTATTCCACGAACCTCCTGAGCTGCTGTCGAAAACAGCTGATGAGTTGGAATGAACAGGTACACTAGGAAGCGGGTGATGACGGGCACGATCTAGTGCCGAGGAATACTGTTAACGAGTTAGTGAGAAAGCTGGGCTGAAAGTTGAACCAAAACGATTGGGAAGTCTAACCTTGAAGACAAAGTTGAGGATTAAGGCAACTGCCAAACCGATGCAGACTACGATAGGACCGAACATGTTGTCTAGGTCCTTTCCACTCCGCTGGCGGATGAGACGGGCCCGTCTCTCGTATATGAACCACCCCCAGACTGCGGCGAAGATGGCAAAGAATGTGTAGACGACAGCTAATGCCTGGGCTACCTGGTTGTGCTTGCCAGCAGCATTGTAGAGGCCCAATGATAAACTCGACAGGAGGATACTGATGTGAAGCCATTTGATAAATGTTCGCTGGTTGGCAAGGTAGACCTTACTTTCCACACGAACGGGCCCAGCGTCTTTGATCCAGACGCCGGGGTGTCGAACACCAGGCGGCAAAGAGACAGATTTCGCCCCAAGCCAGCGCTGAGGAGAAAGTCCGAAAAACCGAAATATGGACTCGAGGCGAGTGGGCCGCTCGGGTTCTTCCTCTGGTTCGGGAGTGGGTCCGGTATCACGGCGCTGGGGCTCTGGGATTGATGGACGTGGGTGCCGCGCTGCAGGTTCGGTGACTGCTGAGGATCTCCGCATGGCCGAGGGAGAGCCTGCACTGGAGTATTGGTGGTAAGGTGACCCGACTTGTGGGCGAACACCTGGGCTGCGCGCGTCTCCCATGAAGCTGCCTACTGCTATGTTCTCCTCTGCTCGTCGAGCTAATCGCTCTTGCTCCTCGTGGAATGCTGTTTCGGGATCACGGCGAATATCACTTTCAAGTTCACCAAGCCAGAAGGGAAAGCTGTTGACATAGTCTTCAAACAGTGAGGCTACGCCGTGGACGAACTTGGAGAAGCGGGGAGCATCCTTGACAAGGTGGGAGACCATCAGGTCCTTGACCCACTCGGTGTTATGGGCCTTGCCTCGAAGCTGGATCTCGAGCAAAGCGTGAGGGAAGCGAGTGATCTCTCCAGTCCTGATAGCGCTGAAGGGATAAGTCATATCGGCATCGTCCAAGTCGGTACGGTGCCACTCGGCAGGATCACGACATGGACGTTCACTGTCGAGGGCATCTTCCCGAATGAGCGCGAGGTTGGTATCGAGGGAAATACGAATTCGATCATTGCCAGGAATTTGGAAGGCGGTACGCGTGTAGTTCGCCCGGAGCATGGGTTGCAGGTCATTGTCCTTGATAAAGGACTGCAGCTCATCCACGTCCCTTTTCAAGGCTTCGGCGGCGGCCGACTCTCCATTGGTCGAATCCTCCATGCGATGGACCTTTTTATCGAAGCGGTACTCGCCGTCCAAAAACTCCTTAACGTGCTTTTCTTTGAGTTGCACCTTGACTTTTCGACTTTCGTCGTCGTCGGTGACAATCTTCTTTTCCAACTGGATGGTAGGTTTGTCTTTCAGCGATCCCGTCCAGCGCAGTCGCAAAGATCCGGCTTCGGGTGCTCGTGCGACCTTTTGATTGTAGAGGTCAAACTGAGGGGAATCAAAATAGAGAGAAGTAATGGTGGGGTCTTCAGTGATGGTATCGAGGTCCTTGGAAGTTCCCGGCCTGTAGATAAGAACCGGCAATCGACGAAGGATGTGAGTCTTGACCTCCAAAACGTTGTCTGAGTGAACCCAGAATTTGTAAGACGAATAGGTCTCACGGCCAAATCCATGCTCTGTCTCCCTTGGTTGCACAATGTCCTGGTTCAGAGTCTCCCGAACAAAGGAGTACATCACCGAGAGGCGATGGACCAGCGGCGAATAGTCTTCCGAGTTGAACGGCAGTTGTGACAGTCGCACTTGGAGCAAAGGTTTCACCCGATATCGGGCTCCTCGTTTGCGGTCATGCTTCTTTGCAGCCTTTAGGAAGCCAGTGAAGTTGATTCGGCTGTATTTTTCCAAGGCACTGACTTCCTTGGTGATGCTATCAAGTTCTTGCAGAACTTCTGAGGCAATAGCCCTTTTCTTCTGTTCATCGAGAATGGGCGTTTCTTGCTCCGGAGTAGATGCCAAAGGTCGGAGTTTAGCTTCACATGCTGTTGTCCGTTCTCGGAGTTGCTGCGATGTCTCTGCTTGGAAAGAATTGACCTTGTCCAGCTGTACATTGAGCAGTTCTTGCACAAAGGCTTCCTCATCTTGCTCAGTCCATTGATCGTCATCGGAGTCACTGTCGTCTTCTGCGTCCCGGGTCACATCGTTCTCTCTCAGCAAGGTCTTCAGCTTGGTGTAGTCAATGTACTTCCCTTTCCAGGGAGGGTACACCGCAGCACGGAGGGTTTTTCCAAACCGCATTTTGAGCCAGTCCGGTTGTGCAGTCGTTACTCAGAGATGGCCGGGTGGTCTGATTAGGAGGTTTCGAAGGAAGGAAGAGATAAGAGAGAGAGTATTGAGACAGATCTTCAGTTAGGGAAAACAAGGTAAGAACTGAGATTCAGCTGCAGATCGAAAAATATGTGCAGACGCCAAAAGAAATAGCTCGTTAGCTTTTAAAACTTGCAGCTTTAGACCGAAGCGTTCGATAGCCAGCGATAGCCGCACGTGCTCATTGGATGTGGCCAATCAGATTCTGAAAATGGACCGGAGGATGACCAGCTATTCGGATAATCTTTATTCCGACGGTATTGTATGTTACTTTACGGTACAGGAGTACGGGAAGTACGGGCTAGACCGATATCGCCCGTCGGAACCAGAGAGAGGGACGTGCACATGGACTCTCCGATACCGATATCCCTCCACAATCCAAGGGATCCTTTGACCTCTTAAGTATAGACTTGATGGAGCCCAAGTCTACACAAACCTCGGGTCTGTCCCATAATCTGCATGGCGTATTAGCCGAGCTACATCGTCAACCTTATCCTTACGTCCCAAATCCTCCAACCTGCAACAAGCGCGCCTCGGTTGCCTTGATTATTCGGGTACGACCAACCTACGACCATTGGCCCAACTCAAACCCCACAAAAGATGCTTCCCAGCCAGTTCCACAACGTTTAGATGAGTTCTTCTCACAGCAATGGGTCCAGCATGGCGAACCGGAGGTTCTGTTCATCAAGCGTGCTTCGCGCGTGGGTGACCGATGGACTGGTCATGTTGCCCTACCGGGCGGAAAGCGAGACCCGGAAGATGCAGACGATAAAGCTGTAGCCATCAGGGAAGCTTCAGAGGAAATTGGATTGGATTTGACAACGGAGGATACCATTAGTGTGGGCAACCTCCCTGAGCGGCTGGTCACTACCAGCTGGGGGTCCGAACCGTGCGAATGCCATTCACCTTCGCCGCTGAGAATTGGATTACTGACTTGAATTCGCAGCTTGATGGTTCTATGTCCCTTTGTATTTCTCACAACTCGCAGCGACTCCCCGACACTTCGATTACAGCCCGCGGAAGTAGCGTCGACACATTGGATTCCCCTGCGCGCCCTCCTATCACCGTCGCTGCGGACCGTGGAATATGTGGATATGTCGCAGCGCTTCGCTCGACAAGGCGGGTTTCTGGCCCGTATTGCAATTCGGTCACTTATGGGCTGGATGCAGTTCTCGGCCGTGAGGCTCCTCCCGTCGGAAACCCATCAATGCACTACAACTCCAGGGTTTGTTCCCGAAGAGAATACACTCCAACCTGGCCTGCTCCAACGTTTCAAGGGATGGTGTCTGAGTGGGCAAGCGGAGTCCAGTGATGCTGCCCATCCGCTGCTCCTCTGGGGTCTCACCCTCGGCATCCTGGCCGACTTCTTGGATATGCTCCCTCCCCACCAAGCTGTGCAGTTGTGGAAATATCCAACATTTACCGTGCCGGATCTGCGGCTGATTGTAAGCATTGTGACTTATAATCTACGGAAGCGTAATGCGCTCAATGTGAGATCGGGTGCTCGTCCTAGTAACACGGCCGCTGATAGCGAAACGGCCGCACTCTCAGTCACACAGGAGCCGGATCTCGGACATGATCACAATGAAGTGGGCATCGGTGGTCTCGGAGTAGGCAGATATTATGGTCCGACCGACCAAGCAAGAGATGGGACTTCTTATGCTGTTGGAATCATGCTGCGCGGGTATTATGACCGCTTGCGCATGGCAATCTGGGTTTTCCTGGCCTGGCGTGTAGCCATTGGTTCAATTGTTGGTATTTCAGCCTGGCGAATTCTTCGACGACTGCGTTGAAGTGTACATTAGCAATATACAGTTGCAATAAAGATGTAAATAATAAAGATTTCTCTTACATCGAGGTACATCACATGTTTGGGACATGCAAATACCAAATTACATAAGGAACAGATCATTACGGCATTCGGTCAGATTAGCTCCCCCACATCCTTTCTGGGGGGTAAACATTGAACATTGAACATTGCACACGACTGTCTTCGACTTCACCATCTCCTATATTCTACTCATTATGGCGGCAGCTCAAAAACTTTACCCACGAGGAACAGTCAAGCGCATTGTCAAAGCCCACTCCAATCGGAGCGTGAGCAAGAATGCCGACATTTTGGTACGCGGTCGTCCTGATATCCCCTCTCTTATCCAGTTGCTAATACTACCTTTATAGATCTTCTTAGACTATATGCTATTCATGCAAGAGTATGTCTCCATCTATCCTTGTGGCGGTTGCAACCCAATTGGCGCTCTCACTGCCGACATTATTGAACTGGCGGTAAGTTAACACATTATAGGTTAATGCGCGAGGCATCGATTCAGTCGCGCAAGTCTGGCGAAAAAAACATTTCAGCGAATACCGTGCGCAAAGTGACTGAGGTGCGTTTGGTCGATCTAAGAGCTTCTCTGGAAGACTCGTGAGAACACACAGCTGACAAGTATGGGCTTTTTTAGAAAACACTGCGCAAATTCCAGGGATAGAAGAGCTCAGAACATAACCTCGGTCTGCCATTATGGCAAATACCTGCCTAGCATGGTTGTGAAAGACGAGGGGATACTGTACTAAGACTGGCTTGCATTTTGTGATATTATGGCGTTGTGGGCGAATGTGAATATGATACCCTGGAGCAATACAATAGAAGAAATGAATAAATCACAACCAACAGATCAGTTATCTCATAAATTACGCGTTTAAAGATATAGATAGTACTGTGATTGCTTAATTGCTTCGCGCTACGCACGCGTCGAAAGAGAGAGAGAGTCTACTTAAAGCCAGTGGGCCACACCGACCAAAGGCTTTCCGACCCGCATGTTGATTCTTCCTTCATAACACACGTCTTTCCTTCAACGTTATCGCGTTTAATCCTTCATTCCAGACCTGTACAAGCTTTTCAGAAATACTTTAATATCTGTGTTACCCACATTCCCATCATGCCTCCCACTTCCGCTACCCAGAAGCTCAAGGACGAGGAGAAGGGCTCGCGAGCTTCAAGCGTCTCCAAGGACCCCGAGGGCCCCAACTCTGAAGGTCAAGAGAGTACCTACTTGAAGGAGCTGCAGAAGTATGTTCAAAATCTTATGAACCCAGTGGCGTGGTTATTGCCTATGCGCAAGTGGAAGTGACCTAACTGCTTTGTTTAGAACACTTCGCAATGCCATGAAGAAGTTGGTGAGTTATTTTCGAATGATGCTTTGGTTTCGATTGTTTCCATTGACACATTTCTAACGTTGCTATTTTTCTGACTAGAACTCCCTCGCCAAAGTCGACGCCATCATCGCCGAGAACCCCAACAAGTCGCTTGATGAACTGATCGAGGAGAAGAAGATCAACAACGACCAGAAGGCACAGGTCCTGAAGAGGCCTTCCCTTCAAGCCACCGTTGCTCAGGCCGAGGAGCAGATTGGCCACTACAAACAATTTGCTGTCCAATACGAGGACCGTCTGGCTGCTCAGAAGGCTGCGCTTGTCAAGGCGCATGAGGCGGAGCTCGAAGCTGTCCGTAATAACGCCATTGCTGATGCGACTGAGGCCTCCAAGAAGGCACTGCGCGAGCATCTCTATACCGTGACTAAGTTCTTGTGCGCCGCGGCCATCCTTCGACGCGACGGTTACACCATCACCACCGAGAGCCGTGCTTTCGAGGGTGTTCTGTTTGAGGTGTACGCTGGCAACCAGTCTGCAGTCAATTCGCTTCTGAAGATTGCTGAGGGTGCCGATGAGAAGGTCAATGCTGTTGAGGGCACCACTCTTGATTTTACCTGTCAGTAATGAATTTCCCAGCCCCACCCTCACTGAATATCTTTGAATGTGCTTGCTGACATTATATTTATTTAGATGGCGACGTGAAGCAAGCATCCGACAAGTTCGCTCCGCCTGAGGAGGTTCCCGAAATTGCCTCGGAGGCAACCCTCGCCACCAACCCTACGACCGACCCTACCGTGGCTAACGCAGGACTGACCGAGCTCCAGGATGCCTCATTCGGCGCCGAGGCCCAGCCTGCAGCTTCCCAAGCGGACCAGTTGGCTCCTCCTGCGCAGACTCTGGTTTCTGATGCTGCAAACTCTATTGCGGAGCAAACCTGGGCTCCTACTTCCGATGAAAGTAGCGAATGGGTCAAGCTTCCTCGCAATCCAGATGAGACCGACACTGGCCTTCAGGCTACTCCAGCTAGCGCTGATGCGGGTCTGAACAACGGTTCCGTTGGCGCTGATGTTTCGACTCAAGGTGAGAACGCTGCCAAGTCTGGTGGACGCCGCCGTCACGGACAGGGACACCGTGGTGGCCGAGGCCGAAATGATGCTAAGCGTACTGGTGAGGGCCGCGGTGGCGAAGGCCGTGCTGGCGAAGGCCGTGCTGGTGAAGGTCGTGCTGGTGAAGGTCGTACCGGCGAAGGTCGTACCGGCGAAGGTCGTGGACGTGGTGGACGACGAGGTGGTCGCGGCGGACGTGGTCGAAACGGTACAAGCGGTCCTGCCTCTGGCTCAGCGGAAGCTCCCGCCTCCAGCGAGTAAGAGTGGCAATCTTAGGATGTCAGTTGGAACATGCTGTTTTGGGATCTTGTTTCGAAGTCGATGTTCCGACGAGAGATTCTAGGTCTGTCTTTCCGGGACTGGCCTCAGCGATTTCTGGTCCGATGTGATGGCTCACGAACGCAACGAATTTTCTTCACGGAGAGTCACTTTGATCTCTTCGTCTGGCTTTGCCAAAGTCTTCTTGACCATGTCCTGCAATTTTTTTCAGCGTGCATATTCCCGATCATCAGAGAGCTTCTCTCACGACATACATATGTATTCTATGCTATTGTTTTATCGGCGCTTGTGAACGGAGGGCTTAGGTCGGGCATAGATCGAAATTGATCATAATGAGTGCACTATTACTTTCCAGGACTTGCTGTAGATACCCGTATTTTACGATTTGGGTCGCTTTAGTTGAAGGAAATAAGGTCTACTAGGTCTACTACTTGAATACGTGGATAGTAGTCAATGGCATATGATAATTAACTAGTTACTATAGATGTAGTATTGTACCATAGTCTGTCACGTGATGTAACTAGCTTGGCGTAATGTAATGATATTACACAAGACCGAATCAAGTGCGGGGCAATTATGCATAAAATAATGAAAATAACGGAATACGCTTGAAATGCGCTTGTAAAGGCGTGTTCCGTTATTACTAGCGTGTTTTAAGATGAAACCCGTTTTTAGCGCAGGGCGCTAAACCACAATAGGAAATGCATACCGACGCCCAGTGGAGCTCCTGGCGTATTCAATCTGATTAAAATGGTCTTTGTGCTCTTGCACAAGTGTCAAGTGTCAACTTCCCCAGATTCTTGTCCTTCTGCTCATTTTTGGTTCTTTCCGCCCTCCTCCTTATATCTTCTATTGTATATACGGCACCAGCAACAATGGCCGTCGCTGGCGCCCAACGTAAGGGGGTGCTGAAGGTGTTGATGCTCTCGCTGTTGTTAGATTTGGTAAGATCAAGGTACCCATCTAAAGTCAACAATCACATTTATTCAATTAACAATGCCTTCAGATCTCCTTTACATTCATTCTGCCCCTCTTCCCTTCGCTGCTATCGTTTTATCACGCGCAAGATCCATCCCCCGATTCCCTCCTCAACCGCATCTTCCACTACCTAAACGCCTACAAAAATTCCTTTGCGCGCCCCATTGACTCGCGCTATGACATTGTACTCCTCGGTGGAGCCCTCGGCTCTTTGTTCTCCCTCCTTCAAGCCTTTGCTGCACCCGTCATAGGCCGCCTATCAGACCGTCATGGCCGCCGTCGCACCCTGCTCATCTCCATGCTCGGCAACCTCTTGAGCGTCGCGCTGTGGGTGTCAGCTACGGACTTCCGTACATTCCTCGCCAGTCGTATCGTTGGGGGGATGAGCGAGGCAAATGTGCAAATGGTCAACGCCATAGTGGCGGATATCACAGACGAGGAGCACCGCGGCTCTGCTATGGCATTAGTCGGGGCCTGTTTCAGTGTCGCGTTCACTTTCGGGCCGGCGCTGGGTGTGGCGCTTAGCAGTATCAATATGGTTGCCGAAAACCCGTTCATCGTCGCTGCAATTGTGTCTTTTGCTCTGATATTTATTGAGACTGTGTATCTTTGGGCCTGTTTGCCCGAGACGCATCCCCGATTGACGACGCTTCAGATGGAGAGCAAAAGTACCTCCACCGAGAATAATGATGCGTTGGGTAAGAAAACTGAAGATAGGAGCAGTGCTCCCGCTAAGCGCACCCATACAAACAATCCGGCCCTTCTCAATACCCTCCACTTCCTCTTCCTACTCCCATTTTCCGGTCTGGAGTTCTCCCTTCCCTTCTTGACTACAACGCTCTACGCGGGATCAGCCACAACAGTCAGCCCTGCTGCATTGAACGGACGTCTCTTGTCCCTGATGGGCTTAATCGCCTCTCTCCTGCAGGGTACCCTGGTGCGCCGTCTCCCGCCGCTGGTCACCCTCCGTGCCGGTGTCGTGGCCTGTACCATATCATTCTTTTGCCTTGCTCGCGTTTCTTCACCTTCAGCTCTCTATGCCGCCGGTGCTTTGTTGGCGGTAACGACCGCTACGGTTGTTACGTCACTCAACAGCCTGGGCAGCTTCGAGGCACAGGATGCGGATCGCGGCGCGGTCATGGGTGGTTTGCGGGGGTGGGGACAGGCTGGCAGGGCGACTGGTCCTATTGTGTTCTGCTCTCTGTTTTGGTGGGCTGGCCGTGAGGCTGCTTATACTGCTGGCGGGTTCGCCATGTGTGTCGTCACAGTTGCAGCTTTCAGCTTGCTGAAGTCGCCTGCTGTGCATAAAAAGACTGAATAATGTACATAGAAGCATACTCAATAAAAAATGGTCACAATGTCTTGCTATTCCTTTTTAATACATCAACTTATCAGTATCAGCCCCAAAATATCTCTGCGTTTTCTAGCTTGCTATTCTTCACTCAGTCTGGACATGTTTCTCGGTGTTATAGTTAGGAGGATAACGGGTAGCAGACTACGATGTGGCACAATTCCTACAAAACGACAATTCCGTGATTTTATCATTGCTGTCTGGCTTTTTCAAGTCCGTAACAGGGTATAATACATAGAAGAGTGGCGATAGTATGTCTCAAGGTTTCCAACAGACAAGGTCAAGTGAAAGAGAGGAGTTCAATATCAAAACAGCCCATCTTTCGACACCCATAATCAGGCGCCGTTACGCCTTGAGTAAGAAAACATATTCGAGCTATAAAAAAGACACAATACAGCAAGAATGTGAATATGAACACAGAAGTCATCGTACATTCTTTCTTGTCTTCGGGATTTTTCATTTGATGAGAGATTCGCTCGAGTTATGATCGAATATGAGGGTGAAGTCACGACCTCCGGCCACTGTTGGAAGCAAGCCCATGACTCTCACCAGTCGCCATGGCAAGTCCAGTATTGGCAGCCGGGTCCAACGAGCCACGTGCCTTGCCAATAAGCCAGTCAGTGAGAGTCACGAATTTAGCAGTCCGGTCCCAGCCGTCCGCTTCATCGGCGTGCTCGATAGTATGGGTCAGGATGCGACCCTCCTCATCGAAAGAAAAGATAAAGATGCCGGTGAATTGCTCTTCCTTTGACAACTTGAAGATAGGCTCTTCACCACCGAGAAGGACACTCAAGCCATTGTTGGTGCCTTTTGTGGAGTTCGAGAGATGACTATTTTGTGAGAATGGGGCATTTTTCGAGGGATTTGTAGAATTGGTATTCCAAGAGGCTGGGCCATGGAAGGGGCGGCTTTCTGTTCGTGGCTCAGTTTTCCACCGTACTAGTAGGCGCTCATCGCCGCAGTCGTGATGGGCGCCGTGACGCGTGGGGTCGAGTAGCGTCCCGGCTCGTACGATCCTTTCGCTGAGAATCTGCAATTTCACATTGCCGACTAGTGGCACGCTGCTCCATGCTACCGGGACAGTCCATAATGCCGCGCGATATAGTGTGCGTCCTTTGACGGTAGGGAGGTGTGGATGTGTGGATGGGAATAGGTGAAGGTTGACACTCGGGGCGAGGATTTCGGTAGGTAAGGTATTGTACAAGATGGTCGGTAAAAGGGGTGACAGGATTCGTAAAGCTTTGATCGTTAGTTGAACGGCTTTTTGGAAAGTGAATGAGGAGACAGTAAGTACATACTCTTTCCGAGTTTCAAGGTTCTCTCATCTGGCGGTTGGTGATCGTTTCTCCTAAGGCCTTCCACATGCTCCCTCCGCACCCAAGCCGGGGAGAAATATGTGACTGGCAAAGGTGCAACTGAAGTTGAGGTCAACCAGGGCTCACTGAGAAGGCCATGACGAAGTTGCGCCAGTCGCTGTCGCGAAACCGAAGCAAAAAGCCGGCCAGAGACAGGGCTCTTCGGCTGATTGAGAAGAGACGTGCGCAGAGAGACTAGCTTCGGCATTCTGCATTTTAAAAGTATGTTGTCAAGCCATGTAGATAAGTGGAAGGTTGAAGTTGGTCGGAGTCGCGGAGTCGGAGAGTCGGGGAAAATGACGTTGTGGGAGCCAATCACGATGCTCTGGTATACAATTTTATACAACTTGTATTTACTGACTAGGACGATTCGTGACAGGTCTACAGCTTCCCGGGGACTAATTAAAAGTATTATTCGTAATCCCAACCTCAAGCCAATTCATCATCGTCTCCCATTCCCATGACACGTCGTTCAGCCAGATCGCGGATCTTGTCCTCAAGAATGCCACGTCCATAACGCTGTGCAATTTTAGCAGCCGCCTCGAGCATCTTACCGTTGCGGTCCGTCATCAAGGCCACCAGCTCCAGCGCCTTCATACCACGCTCCTCGCCCTCTCTGCATTCAATGGCCAGCATCTGCAGCAAGTTCTTATCCAATTCGAGCTCCCTCCGCGCCAAGTCAGAGCGTTGGCTTGCCGTCGCATTGGTCGATGAGATAAGATCGCGGAAGAGCGACAAAAGCACATTTCCACGTACGAATGACTCCTCGAAACGAGCGCCCTCAGCCGCCGTGTCTCCGGATTCGCTGGAATCTTTCGGAAGAGTACTGGCAACCGGGATCTGGAAGTCGAATTCACTGAGCAGCGGCCGTGGAAAGTAAGGGTTCTTGTCACCACCCTTGAGGATAATACAGTGGAACTTGTCTTGTGCGACAGCCACCGGCCAGTATGTTTCTTCTTTCCGCCCTCCCGCGAGACGTGCCATTTGCTTCGTGTCCAGGAGCGGTACCCATCGGGCTTGGCCGGATGTGCGCCAGTGTTGCAGAACTAGTAGGACGCCAGTCGACTCGTATATACAAGGATCCTAAGAAGATGGTTAATTCCATAGCCAACTCTTCTGTTTAGATGGCGCTTACCCCATTATCAGAGAAAAAAACACTCTGTAGCGAAGCCCCTTCTGGAAGAGCGACAGTGTCTTCGTTTTGGCAAATCTCGTCACGCTTGACATTCTCCACCGTGTATCGTAAGGTTGCGTGGCCATCAATCCCTATAGGGCCGTTGCCGATGCTCATAATGTAGTCGCGCCAGGCCGCGCAAGTCACGGCTTGGCTCTTCTGTCGATACACCTTGAAAGGTGTCCCAAAGAGAGTGTACACTCGAACATAGTGCTTTGATGTCACAGTGACAATGTATGAATCGCTGAGTGCCAGAGCTGATAGCGAGCATTAGTAAGGTGAATTGTGTAATCCTTTGAATTCTTACCTCGAATTTGTTCTCCCTCGGGCAATTCGGTTCGCCAGTCCGCTCGCGCAGTCCACGTCTCATGTGGCCTGTAGAAAATAGTGGCCGGACTGCCATCCGAAGGGTTATTGGCAAAAAGTGTTCCGTTGTCGTCTATATCCGATCAGCCAAAAACCCAATACAAAAGGATAAGCGGAAAACTCACTCAAACAAGCCTTGTCGTACATATACGGATCAGTGAAGTGGAAATCTCGATGAGCCTCTCGGTCATAGAATTCCACAGTAACAGTGTGGTGTGTCTCCTGGTCCACAGTCCAAACAGCTCCTGTCAAGTTCAGGCCTGGCCAAGTTAGCAAATGCACCCCAATGAGTTGCAACAAGAACATACAAAGATATCTCCTACTCCCAGCCCAAGGCGTGCTACCGGGTTGAAGAGGCAGATGGGCCTTGGGCTTTTCGAAGCCAGAGTAGAGGCGTTTGTTACTAGTGTCGCCGAGATCATCGAGATCATCGTGGGGCCGCTTGCCATAAATATTTAACTCTTCATCGGCATAGCCAGCCCCATCATCATCCTCGATGAAATCGATCATCTGGTCATCTCCACCAAGGATATCATCCAATGAGTCTGGAGACCCTCTTCTCGCGGCTCGCTGGATGGCCTCTTTGGACCGCTCCGTCAGTGTGGTTCGCCCAACATTGTTGGAGATCTCGCCCAGAGGCCCAAGTAAGATAGGAGCTGCCTGCAGCGGTTTCTGCAGCAGAGACTCGTGATCCCTCGGTACAAAGTTATCATAGATGAAAAGCTCTCCATCTGAAGTTGTAAATGAAAGTGAGTTTTTGGTCGGGTGCCAGGATAGGTTCAAGACATTTGCAAATTCGTATCGCTGCAAGATCTTTTGCGTCTTTGCTTCCCAGAGCACAATATATCCATCTGCAGCTGCAGACGCCAGAAGAGATCCGTTCGGGGCCCAGCTCAAGGCCGTAACGTCGCCGGTATGACCGCCAGCAAATGTTTTCTCCTTCTTCCATTCCGAGGTTGAGTAGATCGAGATATCTCTGGTCGCTTCCGCAGAAGCAAATGCAGTACCATCAGGATGCCACACTGCTCTTGATGTCGCCTCGGCATCTGGCTCCAGTCGTCGAATAACTCCATCGAGTTTGCGGACCAGCTCCGGCTCCTCTTCGTGCATGGAGTATATATAGAGGATTCCATCTGTTCCGGATACTGTTGCATATCGGCCACTGGGATCGAATGTGACATGCTTCGTTCCCTTAGACTGTTCCCGGAGATACTTGACTTGCGTCATGTCGTCGACTTTCACGATTTTGACTGTGAGCTCACTAGTCCACCAGTGTCAGCATCCAATCCACTGTCTGGCACAATCTCTACAGCACTTACTCGCTTGCTACTGCGACCCATTCTCCATCTCTCGTCACTGCAATGTCCCTGACTGGCAAAGCACATCGGACAAGCAAGTTTTGTATTTTGCCCGACATCATGTCGTACTTCCAGACTGTTCCGTCCTCGGCACCCATGATAAAAGACCGATTCTAGCAATCCTGTCAGACCTTTCCTTCGATGCATCGTAAGTCTTATTCCAACATACCGTAGCACCAATGCCGAAATGCGCGTCAACACCTTCGTCGATCGTCTTGGGCTCTCCATCTTCGCCGACCGTGTAAACACGGATAGCCGAGTTGGAGCCACCAGTAATGATTCGTCTTCCGTCGGGTGTGTAGGCCAGTATCGTTGTGCCAGGTGTGTCTATGTGGAGGCCGCCTTGTCAGTAACTATTGTAGTCTCTAGGTCATCAGCATGACTCACGGGCTGGGCGCCCCCGCGGGCGAAGAGGGTCGAAACTCATTGCAAACGAGGCTTGGCGTAGATATTTCAATCAAGATGCAACTAGAAAGCCTGGAGCATCGTTCGATCTTGATCTGGTGGATCACGAATAGCCAGGGATCTACAAGGTCAGACGCGTCCGCGTTACGCGCCTTGATTGATTTAACCCGATTGGGGAATATTATAGGGCTCAGGGCTTAGGGTAAGGGCCGCTTTCTCCAGATATTCCATCTTATTGTTCGATATTGAGTTTGTAGCTGAAATAGACTCTAAGTGCTAGCACCTCCAGCTGTCAGGAAATCAAAATCTGCTCCCTCTTGTGCTTGATTCACTGATCGCTCATACAACCCGCGGTAGCCTCTCCTCTGCTTTCTTACCTGCGTCTCTCCCACAAGACTCTGTCTGCGTGTCTCGATTCGAGTCTGGATTACTGCCTCGGAAACTTCCAAGTGCAACTTCCTAGTTTCGATATCGCAAATAATCAAGTCACCGGTCTCTACCACGCCAAATGGTGACTCTGGTAGCGCAGCTTCAGGCGAGATATGGAGGATAATGGTTCCGCCCGCGGTCCCTGACATTCGACCGTCCGAAAGTCGTAGCATATCCTTCACTCCTGCCTCTGCTAGCTTCTTTGGGATCGGTATAAGGCCAGCCTCTGGCATACCTGGGTTGCCAATCGGGCCAATGTTTTTCAGGACCAGCACACTGTCCTTCGTCACAACAAGGTTTGGATCATCGATCCGCTGAGCAAGGTCGGCCGAATTCTCAAATACCACAGCCGGTCCAGTGTGTGATAGTAAGTGGCGATACTTTGACGCTGATGCTTTGATGACAGCACCGTCTGGGGCAAGATTGCCTCGCAGAACAGCCAAGGATGACGCGGGAAACAGAGGGTCTGACATTGGCCGAATTATCTGTTGCGCAAAGGAAAGTCTCTTGGACTGGGATGCATCGAGGACCTCGCCCAGCGTTTGCCCAGTAATTGTCACAGCAGATAAATGGAGCAGGGGTCGAAGCACTTGTAGCAGCGCCATCATGCCTCCTGCATTGTGGAAATCATTCATATAGTTATCTCCACTCGGTTTGAGATCAATCAACAGTGGGGTTTTGCGGCCAATCTCCTCAATAGTGTCTAGAGTGATCACTCCCTGCAGTTCTGGATGTCTATTTGCAATAGCGAGCAGATGAACAATGGCATTTGTCGAACCCCCGATAGCCTGGAGCACTGTGATGGCATTCCAGAATGATTCCTTTGTCAATATTTCTTGTGGCTTTCTCTTGGCCTTTGCAATCGCAACTGCATTTGCGCCGGTCTCTTCGGCAATTCGCAGTCTCGCAGATGATACTGCCGGTGCAGTTGCGCCCCGAAGCGGCATCATTCCTAATGCCGCAGTCACACAAGCCATTGTACTAGCAGTTCCCATGACACCGCATGTCCCTATCTGAGCGAGCGATGATTGTAATTAGTGAACTGACCTTGGAAATGACCGTGTATCTGATAAGAGCGCATCTGCACATACCGTCGGAGCAAGCTCTTCGTTAATGGCCGAGATTTCCTCGACGTCCATCTCACCCGCTCGAAAAGCTGCCCAATTGTTTCGGCAATCAGTGCAGGCTCCAATACGCTGGCCGCGGTGGCTCCCTGGCAGCATTGGACCGGTGATCAGTGGTAGGATTGGCTTGTTGGCAGAGATACCACCCATCAACTGAGCAGGAACAGTTTTATCACACCCTAAATTCTGTCAGTGGCTATTCTCAATACTAAAAAAACGATTGGAACTCACCTCCGATCATTATACAAGCATCCAATGGCTGGGCCCGGATCATCTCCTCCGTATCCATGCTCATAAGATTCCGCAAGAACATGCTTGTTGGATGCGAGAATGATTCAGCCACACTGATGGTAGGGAATTCTATCGCCAGTCCTCCATTGAGTTGCACGCCGCGCTTAGCAGCCTCAATGAGCTGGGGCACATTGGCATGGCAGGGATTGAACCCTGAGAAAGTGTTGATAATGCCCACGATTGGGCGTGAAAGCGCATCTTCTGAATAGCCAAGTGCCTTGATAAACACTTTGCGGAGAAAGAGAGAGAAATGAGGATCTCCATAGGATGTTAGACCCTGTCGAAGTCCAGATGTGGAAGTGATTGGGCTTGTGAGATCGTAGTCCCTATTGGAATCCTGTTCGTCCATTTTATTGTATTTCCTTCTGAATAGCAATTCCACAGAGGACTATCGAGGAAGTATAGACACCTGAGTTAGGCGACTTACATATTCCCCTCCTCTCAGTGGATGGTGTCATCGGAACAAGCCCGATTCGGATATTAATCCGGGCCGAGGGGGTTGTACATAGAATTAAATTTATAAGATCTCTCTCTCTATGATAAAACGCTATGCAATACTTCCATGTAATCTATACCCTCAACTTCATCCTCACCCGCAGCTCCTTGGTCGGTCGGAAAGCTCCCCAGCTAGTCTTGTGTCCTGGAACTGAGAGGATTTTACCACTTGTGGGCTCAATATCCCATAAGGCCACAATGCCAGCAGTGAAAGTCAAAATAGCTCGCTCGATGAGGCCATTGTTCGTCGATCCATACAATCCGTCCGCAAAGGGAGCAATGATGCTTTGATCAGCCCGTTGTTTTCCCGTTGCAGGATCAGTTACGAGAAATCGTAGGGGATCATACTGCTCTGGATTTGAGAAGTATCGAGCATCATGGTAATATTCACCATGGGGCACAATGATATCCTCGCCCTTTGCAATCTTGTATGTACGGGGCTCCGTCAGGCCATAGGCCGCTTCTTCTGCCGACTCGGAAAGGGTCACATCGGACGCCAGCTTCTTGAACGAGATTCCTGCTGAATGAAGGCGCACAGTCTCATAGTAACATGCTTTTAACAGCGGACAAGATGTAAGTACTTTTTCAATATCCAGAGAGAGACGAGGAGGCTCATCAAAGGGGAAACCCGTCTCCTCGCGAGTTAGCCTGGAAGCCATCACGTAAGAAGCAATCTCTTTGCGGACTTGCTCGAGAAGTGAAGGTTCCGCAAAGAGATGGGTAATTGTCCAAAAAGTGATCTTGGTCGTGTGTTCAATCAGATCATAATACAGAGACAAGTGCCCTGCAGCACTGGCACCTGGAGATAGCTCCAATTTGCGGAAAGTCCGCATTCTGTCTTTGACCAATTCAGAGACATCGTCAAGATCACGCAGTTCAATGCCGGGGTCAATCCCATCGTCCCAAGCAGTCAAAGCTCGGTGAAAGACTGAAAAGATATGGCGAAGCCGATCACTAGCCGCATGTCCTGCTGAGGCTGCTGGATGCGGGGCCCATCGAGGAGTGCCGACGAACAATGTCACAAAGCAATCGTCAAGTCTTCCAAGGTCTTCTGAGAGATTAGGGAAATTCTCCACGAATGTCCCACCCATCAGGAAAGTAGAAGTGATGTGTCCAATGAAATTGCTCACGAGTGCAAACAAATTGGCTTCACAGACTGTCTGGTCCCCTTCATCGGGCATCTCAACTCCACTGATTCCACGTTCCCAGGGGCATTGGTCAACAATGCTCCGGCAGAAGCTTACCAAATTCGGCATGTCACGCTGCACCAAACGGGTAATAGTAGACGAAGCTTCAGTGACAAAGGCCTTTTCGTTGAGAATGGTAGTAGCCTTGTCGCTAAGTCCTTGGTTACGATCCAAATCCAGATTGCGGATGAGGCTGCGGTCACCAAAGACGTTTTGCAGAGCTTGATCGAGCACCTGGTTGCGTGGCGTGGCAGTTTTGACAGAGAAAACAGTCTTCATCATAGATGGAGAAGCCACAACATTGTACTTGACACCGCGAATGTAAATGCCAAAGACAGGCTCATTCATAGACACCCTATAATCCTATTAACAGACGTCTAGGATGGTAATATAGTGGAAGACCAACCGAGTTCTTGTAAAGAAGGTAACATGATTCCATAAGAAGGCAGGGCCATGTCCAATCCAGGGAAACCAATAAGGTGCTAGTCGCACCGTCTGTGATTTTGAAGGGTCTTGCTCACGTCGACTTCGAAGCCCCGAGATAATACGGGTTGTGAGGCATACGAACACCACAACAGCAAAAACCGTTGACCAACTTATACCGAAATATTTCTCACGGACAGTCTGTATAAGACTCAAGGCTTCGTACCTCTCCATTGTGATTCGATGTTGCCCAAACCAAACACTGCCGAGCAAGGTAGCACGGTTCTACAGCGCCAGCACCCACTCAAGGGCTCGAGGTAGACAAAGAGGTATGACCGGCAAGTTTGGATTGATTCACTCCAGAGATTTTTATTTAATATATCCAGGTGAAGGGTGAAGGGACACGATGGCAAACGGAGGCCGGGGCCTTTTTCTGGCTTACTAAGCTCGAGGGTCTCAGCTGGGTTCTATTTTTGTTGGTTTTCATTTGAATGTCAACATTTTCAAAATATATTATGATTTCGTTCTATATAATGATAGGTGATTCTCAGATAATAATAGTCGGATCAAAGTTGATATCACTTGGTTCGCGTTTATACTTCGCCGAGACCGCTAATAGATCTATATCTAAATAGGAGTCCAAAGAAAGGACTGGATTTAGTACTTTTTGTAGTAACGGAGTAAGATTGAGACGAGATTTATAGACAGTAGCTAAAAGCTTAATATTCCTTCTGCAAAGACTTTGACAAGGCAGCACTTTCACTCTCATACTTGAGAATCTTCGATTGCGATCCGTGAACTTTGCGCAGAAGCCACTCGATCCGCGACGTTAGCTCCCAGGGGTACTTTGGCAGTGAGCCAAGGACCTGCAGCTCCTGTTCATACTTCGTGATACTTGAATTCTCGTTGTTAATGAGCTGTGAGAGGATTAACAAGTCAAGGCGGCCCTGCAGGGTCTTGTTCGCAACCAGACGTTGGAAAGCCGCGCGATACACGGGTTTGCCCGGTTTGACGTATCGTGGGAATCCTTTGTCAGTCCCGATGGAGACAAGCTCTGCTTGCTCTAGTGCCCGGAGAGTGACCTCGCCGTTGTCCTTGAATACATCGTCGAGGAGGACTTTGTTGTACAACAGGTTTCCATCCTTGGAGTGGGCGATAGACTTGATCAGATGCCACGCCTGCTCACGGGACCACTGGAGTGTAATTGACTCTGTTCCGAGGATGAAGAGCTTCAGGATTTCAGACGCCGACTGTTCAATGATACGGTCCACGGCAGCTATACAATGGTTAATAGAATTCTCCAGGTAGAAAAAAAGATAAACATACCTTCAGGTGTCTCTCCGGCCTCAATTCGATGAGCCATGAACTCCAAGTCAGTAACTCGACCTCCCAGCACTTTGATACAAGCATCCAAGCCACGAAGCGTCTCTTTGCGCCTTGCATTCTGTTCATCGTCACTATCGTCTGCCTCGGCATCCAGATGACTCAACACGAAACGACGACCAACTTCGAGCGAGCAGTCACCTAAGGCAATTGTGCGGAACACTTGGTTAGGCATGGCTTTGCTCAATGGCTTTGCAAACGAGGCATCAGTCGTCAAGAAGATGACATGGGCGATATTTGCGGATGTCAGACCAGCCGCCCATTCGGTAAGTTTGTCGAGCACGACACTGTCATCCTCGTCATAGAGGAAATTGTCAATCACAACGACAGGTCTCACCTCGGGATGAGCCTCCAGGTACTCATCTTCGGACATGTTGAAATCTTTGTCCTCCTTTCGTCTACCTTCCAAGGCGACTCGCTTCATAGCGACACCAGTATTCTGCCAGATCTTGCTCAACTGCGCATCTAGAGTCTCGGAGAAGCCGGCTTTGGTGCCGATCATTCCCTGTGCAGCAAGGTCAATGAAGCTGCTGATACTGTTCATCCAAGAGAAGATCGGTCGGTAGCCGACCTGAGCGGCTGCTCGTGAAATCTTAGTTGTATCACCCCGAGCATCTTGAATTTGCTTGCAGTCAATGATGACTTTATACTTGTGCTCTTTCAGGGCTTGTTCCAAAACCAACTCGCGTTTCCCTGAGCCACGAGGACCATGGATAACAATAAAGGTCTCCGCGGTCTCCGTTAGCCAGGCTTGCAGTTGCGCAATCTCTGTTTGTCGGTCTTCCCAGATAGCTGCTAGACCTCGCGGGTCTGACTTTCGCTTCCCAAATGAGAACAGGCTCGCTTTGCTGGCTTGTTTGCGAACCCACTGTAGCACTGGGTTCTCTTCACTCTGGAACGACGACTTGATTTTGAGAGTGATGAAGAACGTGCGAATTGGATCGAAGATGATGACCGTGATAGTAGCCAACAGAGCAGCTATAGCAGGGATCACTAGTCTCGGATGGTTCAAAATCCAATCCCTGATCATAAACAGCTTGATCTTGCGCTCGTAGTTGATCTTGAACCTCGTACCGGACTTGCCACCTCCTGCTTCTTCGGAAACAATAAATCCGTGCATGCAGTTTCTTGCCATCACGGCGTACCTAGGGCGCTCGAATCGCAGAATTGCATATCGTGGTAGGACTTTCGAATCTGAGGGCTGTGTTTGGATGTCCAGAATTTTGCCGTAAGGTCGGAACAATGAGTATAAAGACTCTTGGGTCAATTCGGCCGCTGATTTATCTGGCGACGTTGGTAAGAACTCCACCTTTAGGGTCTGGCTTGGGATTCGATAGAGATCTTCGATCCAAGGCGTTCCGCGAACAAGGTCTGCATCGACTTTCAGGAACGGATTGAACCAGGGCTTAACTGGATTGGTTTTCAAATGCTCTTTGATTGCATTTTCGATACTTTCGTGGCTGATGTCCGACTTAAGTGCATACTTCACGAATGCGCCTCCCTCTTTGTACCTCGTCACGACCTCTTTGATCTCCAGATTTAAATTTGTGGGCAAAACTCGATGAACAATACGAGTCGGGTCGGCTGCCGCTAGTTCTGGGTTGTTGACTCGTGCCAAAAGTCCCTCGAGAGGCTGAATATGGCTGAGGGGTCCCCTCAGCAGCCATTGTAGTCGGTGCGGAAATATATCTAGGGCTAGTTAGTGGATAGACATGATAGCTTGCAATTAGTCGGCGCTCACTATTGACATAGATAATCCCTTCGTTTTGTCCTACTGTAATATGTCCTGACCTGATAGAAGATGTGCATCGTATCATCGAGCGTCCCCAAACCGGAGGTCTCCACCAGCAGGACGCATTGGCGCTGATATGAGAGCGTGTGGGAGACCAAAAGGCCAACGGACCTTTTGGTAAAGATGTCGATCTCATTATGGTCACAGACACATACCGAATAGAGAGAGAAAGAAAGAACTTAGGAGAGCGATCAAGTTGTGTTTGTCAAATTAATGACGTCGGTTCGTGATTATCGGAGTGTGATTATCGGAGTCACATGACAATATTGATTACCGCGAAAAAGATAACCTCGCGATTTCATGGATCGCGATAGATCGACCAATTCTTTCTTTCACAAAACGAAATGGGCTGGCTGTGGAGCTCAACTCCTAAGGATCTTCCGAAGGATGTTCCCAAGGATATTCCATTCACAATTCCTACGGAATCAGTAAAGCAGAATGCACCATCGAAGACCTTGACCCCCGACGAACAAGCCGACTTGGAATTCAGCCAAATCCTGGCCGATCTCAGAGCCGAGGATTCATCGCTCTCAAAACGAACAGGGCTGACTCCTGATGGCAATCCGCTGCCAGAATCCCAAACACCTTCATCGCCCATCTCTCCCGAGTCCCTCTACCAAGATACCATGTCCTGCCGCAATGCCTTCGACTACGCCTTCTTCTGTCAGTCCTTCGGAGGCCAATTTGTGAATGTTTATCGATATGGAGAATTACGGTCATGCAGCGATCACTGGGATAATCTATGGCTGTGCATGAAGACACGAACTTGGCCAGACGATTTGCGCAGGAGAGAAATACGGGACCACAACCGGAAGAAAGCGATTAAGTACAAGACGGGCCCCAGCAGTGAAGATGTCTGGGATGTGCGTCTAGACCCAGCCAAGGACTCGTTCAAGGGAGATTTTGCCACCATGTGGCAGGAGATGAAGGCTGAAGATGAAGCAGCAAAACAACAGGCGCAACAGACGGCTTCATGATGTCCCCTGTTTCTCTTCTCTCCTTGTTACGATATGTAGATATACTCCCTTTTGTTTCATTCCCTCATGTATAATATGATACTCTCCATTTCCTTTGTGTATCGGCGTTTGTTCGATGGTCATATGGAGGACCCGGCGGATCCGCATATAGCGATTTAGAGGCTTTTTGTTACACTGTATGATCTTATATTCTCAGATTTGTCAATCTGTCTGTACGTGGATTCTATAAGTCTGCCCCACGGCCTATAAAACTCTATTGAAGGGAGAGAATAATGCTGGAGAAATAGTTGATTGGCGCAAAACGCTCGAAGAGATGCTTGAAGAACGCCGCATAAACGAATGACCTAAAATTAGAAAAAAGACCCCCAAGGCCGTAGACACAAGAGACATATCTCAGGATATCAATAAGAAAACCCTAAAACATACTTACCTCATATTATTTCATAGCATCGCCGTGCGTCTAAGAGCTCAGCTGCGAAGCAAGCTTGTAAGACTTATTGCTAAGAACAATTCAATAAGTTAGTATGTAGCAATTCAATGGAGGACATGTAACCAAGATGATGTTCTCCAATTCTCTAATTACTCAATCCAAACTTCATTCTTTCATTGCTCTTCATCTTCCTCCTTTATCGACTGCAGTCGTGTCTTGATGTGCTTTTTTAATCGATCTTCGATTTCCGCTATCCTAGCATTCACAGAACTGTTGCTGCCTGTGCTGCATATAGAGGAGGCAACACTAGCCGTAGGTGAAGGAGTGACTCTTCGCAGAGTCACAATCTCGATCCCCGGACCGGCATCGAAGTTCAACTTCTTGCTGAGTCTCTTTACCTTGGGGCTAGTGGGATGGTCAACGGTGAGCTTGGCCATAGCAGCAGTGATATCAGCGATATCAGATGGATTGAATACAATAGGGGTAGATCGACCGCCCGAATCCCTGGAGTGGGAGGTAAGAGGCCTGGAACGATTTCCGGTCCTTGTGGAATTCTTGCGCATTGTTGTTCGGAGGCTACCTTCGACACTCCTACCGCGCCCTGATACTCGACCATCGTTATAGTGGCGGATGGACCGTCGCTCACCGTCGAGCTCGCGGTCAGTGATGAAGCCGTTTGGATTGAGATCACTCGCGGCCTCGGTTGTCTTCTTGGCTTCGTTGTCCATGTTTGCAATGGATAGGACCTGTGAATCTGTAAAATAGGTAAGCTGGATTAGCTAAAACGAATGAATGGAATGGAATGGTCCGAGAAAGCAAGGGATATGAGGACGATTATATAGTTGAGCCATCAATGCCGGCCATGCAAATCTGACAAAGGGAAGTTACCAAAGGAATAAGTACAAAGACGTTGTTGACTCTTCAGCTCTTTGTTCTTTCACACAAAAGACATAGAGAGCATCTAGCTTTAGAGACTAATTTCAAGTAATAATGGAACATGGTCAGATTTGCAGAAAAGCTATGTACAGCAGAAATAGAGATCACCGAATGGCAGACGCTCTAAACGCCTTGCAGACCTAGAAAAGAAGAGAAAGAAGGAGAAACCCGCTGAAGCAAAAACTAAAGATAGAAAGAAAAAAGTAGAAAAGTAGAAAAGCAAAAACTGAAGAAAGCGCAGTACTGAAGCCTTTTCCATTCGCGCAGAGAACCAACCCCATAAATCCCGTTTATGCCACAAATTTATCCCATTTGATGAACTTTTCCGCATCAAAATGAAACTTTTATCGTGATAATGGCCGTCAAAGTCGTAAACATGTCCTGCATCGCCGCTAGATTAAGCAGCAACCTCAGTGGGTTGGGGAACGGAGTCGATGGCAGGACGACGGACGATACCACCGGTGACTGGGAGCTGAGAGCTGGTTCCAATGAGGAAAGCGTCCACTTCGCGAGCACACTGGCGACCTTCGTTGATACCCCTGGAATTATATTAGTAAATTGCTAGTTATAGGAATTCGAGGAAAACTCACCAGACAATCAGAGACTGTCCACGGCGACAGTCACCTGCCGCATAGACACCGGGAAGGTTGGTCGAGTAGTAGCCGGGAGGAGTCTTGATGTTCTTGCGAGGGTCAAGCTCAATCTCATCACCAAAGACACGATCCTCGGGGCCCAAGAATCCCATAGAGAGGAGCACAAGGTCAGCGGGGAAGAATTGCTCGCTGCCCTCGACGGTCTTCATGTCCCAGCCGCCGGTAGCGCTCTTGGTCCACTCAACTCGGACAGTGTTGATACCCTTGACGTGGTTGTTGCCATCGTCCACGAACTCGGTCGACATGACACAGTACTCACGTGGGTCCTTGCCCATGTGCGTCTTGACCTCGGTGTGACCATAGTCGACACGGTAGATACGGGGCCACTGAGGCCAGGGATTGTCACGGGCACGCTCTGGGGGAGGCTGAGGCAACAACTCGAAGTTGGTCACCGACTTGGCACCATGACGGACAGAGGTACCAATACAATCGTTGCCGGTGTCACCACCACCAATGACGACGACATGCTTGTCCTTGGCAGAGATGTATTCGCCATCCGAAAGACCAGAGTCGAGGAGGGACTTGGTGTTCTTATGCAAGAACTGCATGGCGAAGTGCACACCATCTAATTCACGACCAGTGACCTTGAGATCACGCGCAACAGTTGCACCAGTGGCAACAATGACAGCATCATTAGTGGCACGGAGAGACTGCAGAGAAACCTCGCAATCAGGGCCAACAGCAGTGCTCGCAACGAACTTGATACCTTCAGCGGCCATGAGGTCGATACGGCGCTGGACAACCTTCTTGTCAAGCTTCATATTGGGGATACCATACATGAGAAGACCACCCATTCGGTCGGCACGCTCATAAACGGTGACGCTGTGACCAGCGCGGTTAAGCTGATCAGCAGCAGCCAAGCCAGCAGGTCCAGAGCCGATGATAGCAACGGTCTTGCCAGAACGGGTCTTGGGGGGGCGGGGAACCATCCAGCCCATCTCGAATCCACGGTCAATGATCGCGCACTCGATGGATTTGATACCGACGGGGTCTTCGTTGATACCTAGAACACAGGAGCCTTCGCAGGGTGCAGGGCAGACACGGCCGGTGAACTCGGGGAAGTTGTTAGTCATCAGCAGACGGTTCAAAGCATCCTGCCACTGCGCCCTAAAGACCAGCTCGTTCCACTTAGGAATGATGTTGGAAATGGGGCAGCCAGTGTCAGACTGGCAGAATGGAACACCACAGTCCATACAACGGGCAGACTGGTACTTGAGCTCGTCCTCGCTGAGACGGTGGGAGATCTCGCCCCAGTCGCGAGTACGGGTTGTTGCGTTGCGATACTTCTCACTGCGGCGGCTGTATTTCATGAAACCTCTTGTCTTGTCCAAGATCAACGCTGATCGCTTTTTATCGGTCTTGGAATCGCTAATGCTGTCTTCAATGTCTAGCAAGTCAGTCTTCTTGGAGTCGTCGGCCTTGGCCTGTTCGGTTTTGACCGGGGTGCTAGGAAGCTGGGGAAGAGTGAATTCGGCCTTCTTCGCAGCCTCCGCCTTGGCAGCCTCTTCCTCCATGACGCGCTTGTAGTCGGTTGGCAGAACCTTGACGAAGTGGGGGAGAGCACGAGTAAAGTCAAGCAGGATGCGAGCAGCCAGCTCGGAGCCAGTGTAATGGTGGTGGTCTTCAACCAAGCCACGAACAAAGGCAATCTCCGATGGGTCTTCGATACTGGAGATCTCAACCATCTCCAAGTTGACCTTGGAATGGAAGTCCTGGTTCTTATCCAGCACGTAGGCAATACCACCAGACATACCAGCAGCAAAGTTGCGGCCAGTAGGTCCGAGATTGAGTACACGACCACCGGTCATGTACTCACATCCGTGGTCACCAACACCTTCAACGACGACAGTAGCACCGGAGTTACGGACAGCAAAACGCTCGGCAGCCATACCACGGAAGTAGCAAGTTCCACGGGTGGCACCGTAGAGACAGGTGTTACCGACGATGACGTTTTCTTCGGCCTTGAAAGCGGCTCCGCGCGGGGGGTAGACGATGAGACGACCACCAGAGAGGCCCTTACCGACATAGTCGTTGGCATCACCTTCGAGCTCAAGGGTAACACCGGGGGCGAGGAAGGCACCAAAGGACTGACCAGCAGAGCCCTTGATGTTCGCATGGATAGTATCCTGAGGAAGACCAGCTTCGCCATAGCGTCGGCTGATCTGATAGGAAAGAGTAGCACCCAAAGCACGGTCGGTGTTTACGATATCACATTCAATTCGGCAGGGTAGACCCTTCTCGAGAGCGAGCTCCGATTCGGCAATCAGCTTGTTGTCTAAGCGAGTGTGAAGGCGGTGGTCCTGCTTGCGGACATTGTAGGTAGCGACTCCAGGGCGCAGTGAGTGAGCGGGGGTCAGGATGAGTGACAGATCAATTCGTTCCTGCTTGGCATTACGAATATCGTCCCGGATCTTAAGCAGCTCAGCACGACCGACCATCTCGTTGACCGAACGAACACCCAGCTTGGCCATGATAGCGCGCATCTCGTTGGCGACATAGTAGAAGAAGTTGATAACATGCTCCGGTGTACCCTTGAATTTCTGCCTCAGCTCGGGGTCCTGGGTCGCAATACCAACAGGGCAGGTGTTCAGGTGACATTTCTAGAAATATTGTTGTTAATAGGCCGTTCGTCAGGAAATCAGGGTACTGGATGTACTAACTCTCATCATAATGCATCCCAATGCGATCAAAGGAGTTGTGGCAAACCCATATTCTTCCGCTCCAAGCAGACAGGCGATGGCAAGGTCACGGCCCGTACGGATTTGGCCATCGGTCTGAACCACAACACGGCCGCGAAGATCGTTCAAAACCAGAGTTTGATGGGTCTCTGCGAGACCCAATTCCCAAGGAAGACCGGCATACTTGATACCGGTCCAGCGCGAGGCACCGGTGCCACCATCATGACCAGAGATCAAGATGTGATCAGCCTTGGCCTTGGCCACACCAGAGGCGACAATACCAACACCAACCTCAGATACGAGCTTGACGGAGACACGAGCTCGGGGGTTAGAGCACTTAAGATCGTAGATAAGCTGCTTCAGATCTTCAATGGAGTAAATGTCGTGATGCGGGGGCGGGGAGATAAGACCAACTCCCGGTGTGGAGAACCGAGTGCGAGCAATGGGGCCAACGACCTTATGGCCGGGTAATTCACCACCCTCACCGGGCTTGGCACCCTGGGCCATCTTGATTTGCAGCTCGTCAGCGTCGGCTAGGTAGTTGGATGTCACACCGAAACGACCAGAAGCAATCTGCTTGATAGCGGACCGCATCGTGTCGCCGTTCTCCATTCTCTTGCTACGCTCGGCATCTTCACCACCCTCGCCAGTGTTGGACTTGCCACCCAAGCGGTTCATGGCAATGGCAATCGTAGAGTGGGATTCCATGGAGATGGATCCGTAGGACATAGCACCGGTCACGAAGCGGCGGACAATTTCGGTCCAAGGCTCGACCTGGTCAATTGGAATAGGCGTACGCTGGTCGAAATCGAAGTCCAACATTCCACGTAAAGTACAGTTCTTAATCTGCTCATGTGCGGACTTGGCGTAGGCCTCGTAAGACTTGTCGTTCTTGGTGCGAACGGCATCCTGCACGTTGGCAATGCTGGTGGGGTCGTTGATATGGGCCTCTCCTCCATCACGCCAGTGGTACTCGCCGGATTCAGGCAGACCGGGGACTTCGACAATGGGGTGCGAAGGGTACCCGCGCTCGTGGAAGGCGAAAGCATCCTGGGCGATCAGATCAAATGTGATACCACGGATACGACTAGCAGTACCAGAGAAGCAGCGATCGATAACGCTGTCGTCGATGCCAAGGGCTTCGAAAATCTGAGCACCCTTGTAGGACTGGAGAGTAGAGATACCCATCTTACTCATGACCTTGAGGATACCACCATCACAGGATGACTTGTAGTTCTGAATAACCTTCTCATCGGAGATGTCCTTGCGGATCAAGTTCTCCCGGTTCATCTTGAGAATACATTCTAGAGCCAGGTAAGGGTTGATGGCATCGGCACCGTATCCTAACAGAACACAATGGTGATGGACCTCGCGAGCCTCGGCAGTTTCAACTGCCAGGGCGGCAAGTGATCTCCACTTATTTCGGACGAGATGGTGGTGCACCAGGCCGGTAGCCAACAA